CCCCCCCCCACCACCACCACCACCATACCCCGTCACTCCTTGTTGGCTCCGCACACGGGAACACAAAGAGCTCCTCCGCTTGCGGGAGCCGCTCAGTAATTCATCCGCGCCGGTCCCGCGCGCACACACACAAAAGGCTGCGTCCCCCTCCCCACGCCTGCCGTACCCTCCATGGTGACGGACGTGTGGCTCTCCTTCGAGTCCTTGGGGCCCTTCACCTTCAGCTCCTAGGGAGGGAAAGACCCATCAGAGCAGCCCGCGGTGGGTTGGTGGCGGTTTGGGGGGGGGGGGAGGGGAAGGTCATTGCTCAAGGTCATTGGTGTCCCCCCCAACCCTTCCTGCACCCTAATATCTCCCCCCGGCCCCAGCCTGGCCACACTGGAGGCCACACATGGGTGCTGGGGTGGAGATGGGGATTGTATGTGGTGCTGCCTGGTTGGGAGCAGCTCTGGTTGCACCCCAGCAGCCGGGGTGTGGTGGAACCCATGGTGCACCCTGGAGCAGGACACCCAGCCCCACAGCAGCCTGTGGGGGCTGCTGGTCCCACTGAGCTGAATAGCCCCTGCTACGGAGGGGCTGGAGGCAGCAGGGAGCCAGGCTGTGGCCATGGAGGTCCCTGTTTCTATAGGGGAACCAGGTATGGAGATGCAGCCAGCAGGAGATGAGCCACAGGTACCCAGCACCCACAGTCACTGGATGGGGGGAGCGGGCACAGGCTGCCCCAGCATCCCAGAAACGATGGCAGTGAGGGCTGAGCCTGACCCGAGCTTGCACGAGGCGTGGGGCAAACCTCCTCAACACTCCACAACCCTCCAGCACAGCCTCTGATGGCCCTGCTCCTGCGATGGCCCCCAAGAGTCCCCAGGGCAGGGAGAGCATCTCCATGGGACACACACGCTCAGCTTGGCCATGGGGATGGTGTTCTCTGTCCTACACTGGGGCAGCCCAGCCATGGTGGCCCCATCCCCTCGGCACAGCCCCGGTCCAGCTTACCTCCGAGATCTTCTGGAACTGGTAGTTGCTCTGGCTGCACTTCTCCGCCGTCTCCAGTGCGATTTTGTAGTTATCCACAAAGGCCTTGTAGACCCCCAGTTGGCTGGCCTGCAGGGAGTGGGGGTTAGCCAGGCACCCAGCAGGATGCTGAAGCTCCCCCCCTCCAGTGCAAGGGCCAGGCAGCCACTGAGGGGACACTGCCCAGAGTTGTCCTCTCCCAGCAGGACACTCTGCTAGACCATAGCCAGCTGGGGAGCCACATGCTTGGCTCTGCAGGGACAGCCCTCACCCAAGGAGGGATGGTGGGGCCACCACAAACGTTCAAAATCCAGCAGAGAGGTAACAAGTGTCTGAATAATGGAGGCTGAAGCTACAGCTGCTTCCCAGCATCCTTCGACCTGTCCTCTCCTCCTCCCCAGCTTGGCCACAGCACCCATGGGCACAGCCTCTGCTCCCATCATACATCTGAAGCAGTGGCGTGACCCAAAGTGTGACCCTAAGAAGCCACCACTGCAGCACTACCACCTAGAGAAGAGGCAGCAACCCTCTGCCTCTCCCCAGAGGGTCACCCACATGCCTGGGCTCCTGCCAGCCCCATGGCAAAGCCACACCATACACTTCCAGCCAAAACCCTGCCATGGTTGCACCCAGGACCTGCCAGCTGTGGGCAGGGAAAGGGCATGGAGGCTGCACTGACTCCCATCCTGGGATGGAAGGGTTTGGGCAGGCAGCAGCTGCTGCAGGGAGGGATGCAACAAGTCCCACAGCCACCGGTGAGCACGTGGCAGGGCATAAGTTGACCCACGCCATGGGTCCGAGCCCCACAGCACGGTGCTCCACCTCCCCAGCCCTCCTTCTCTTTCAAGCAGAGCAAGCCCCAGGGAAGGCACGTACCAGCTTCTGGAAGAGGTGGCCCATGGTGACGTTGCTGTCCCACTGCTGCACCTTCGGGCACAGGCTGTCGTAGAACTCCTTGTGGATCTCATAAATGTCCTGGATCTTGTAGAAAATCGTCTCAATCTGCTGGAGGGTGAGGACAGGCTGCGACGTTGTGGCTGTAGCCTTCAGTGGCTTCATAGGCTGCCGAAGGAGGAGAAGGGAGAGCATTTGAGACAAGGGCTGGGAGGGGAACCCTGGGAACAAGGGGGAGCTGAGCTGGCAGTGAGAGCTGCCTGGGATGAGTCCTGGTTAGCAGTGGGACCGAGGGACCGCTCCCGGCTCATGCATCCCCACAGACTTCCCCCTCCATGGCGGCGGTGACCCCCATGTTGTGCAACAGCGTCTCCACCACGAGGGCCAGTGAGTCCACAAGAGGAACTGGGGCTATAAATACCTCCCCGCCAGGCACGCTGGCAGCAGGGGGAGGCGAGACAGGGGTGCTGGCTCCAGCATGGCTTCTGCTGCATTGCTCCCACACAGGTAGCATCCAGGGAGGATGTCCAGGAAGACATGACCCCAATCCATCCACCCACCCAACTGTCCACCTGTCCGTCCGTCCATCCATCCATCCACCCACCCATCCACCCCTGCTGGGAGATGTCCCTATTGCTCACCAACAAGAGGGCCTCCAGCTGGTTGATGTAGATCTCCTCGCTGGCCAGGAAACCAGAGAGCACCAGCTTCCGCATCTCCAGGCCTTTGCCAGCATCTCGCTCGCCCTGTGCAACACACCAAGGAGCCTGGCTGAGCCAGCAACCACCATGGAAGGAGACCCCCCTCATCCCACCGGCTCATCCCCAGCATCCACGTGTGGGGCGTGTGTCCCCAACAGTCTCAGGGAAGCTCCGCGACAAGGGCCAGGCACGTGCCCGCTGGGCAGCACAGCCAGTCTGGAGCCAGCTGGGAAGCCATGGGCTTTGCTCCCCTCCCTGCTCCTGGCTGGCCAGGAGCCCGGCACGGCTGGCAGAGCTCCACGGTGGCGCGCGGCACAGCAGGACTCTCCCAGGGCAGAGTCCAGAGACGCCCGGTGAAATCATGCCCGGCGATAGACGGTGCTGCCACGTGATCCAGCACCACCCTTTTCCCCAGCTGAGCTTTTTCCCAGGAAAGTGCCACCCCATCACTCAGTACTCAGTGGCACCAAGGCAGGTCCCAGGCTGTGACGGGCTCCCGCTGCCACCCCAGCCCTCGGTGGCTCTGCCCGTGCCCGTCTCTGCTGCAACATCGATGATCCAGCAGCACAACCCTCACAGCGAGGAGACAGGCAATGCTTGGCCAGGCTGGGGGGCTCCGGGACCCCCAGTGAGGGTCTGCCAGAGCCCAGGCATGGGTGTCCCAGCCCCTGCACTGCCTCAAATGCCCGATGTGCCCTGGCCTCCCCCACAGCCTGTTTGTCCTAAAAATCACACCCAGGAGCCAGGTTTTGCCACCCAGACTGGGACCAAGCATAGCCCCAGGGACACCAGTTGCTCTGAGCTATGACCCGTTTGGGATGGTTTGGGGGTGTATGGGTTCTGTTTTGCCCCTGCCAGTCCTGGTCGTTGTGCCTGGCAGCTACAAACACCCAGGGGTGCTTGGCCCCAGGGTGGGCACAGCCACAGATCAGCATCTCCCTGTCCCTCTCCAGCATCCATGAGCTGGCCCTGGGGGCTGCTGTGCCAACCGAGGTGCCCACCCCACGGCTCCCCACCAGGCTGCACCGTTAAGGCCAGGCCATGGTGACCAGTGCAGGGCAGTGCATGGTAGGGGCCAGTTTTGTACACTGGGAGCTCGCGGGCTTGTTGCCACCGATTAGTCATGGGCTCTTCCTGCTTCCCCCAGCCTGGGCCCTGCGCGGGAGCCAGGGAGATAAGGGGCCTGTTGGCACCCAGAGCCCACGGGGACGATGCCAGCTGGAACCCCACGACCCAGAGGTGCAGTGTCTGGTGGCCACCCCTTGTAGGAGACCCCAGGAAGAGTGAAGCCAGAGCCCTCCTCCAGCCCCGTGCCAGCCCCATAGGGGAACCCAGGCACCCCCCAGCAGGGCAGGCAAGAGAAGGGTGCCAGGCTGCATGTGCCAACACAGGGGTGCCCCTAGGCTGCCCCCAAGCACCAGGTTTTGGGGCTGTTCAGGGGTTGCGGGTGGCCATGAGGTGGGGCAGTGGCAGAGTGTGGTCCAGCCCCTTCCTGAGCATCCGGTGCCAGCTCTGCCGAGCCCCACAGCCCCCCCATAGCAGCACACGTGGCCCCCACTGCCCCTCAGGAGGAAAGCTGTGTGCTCACCCCACTTCATGCAAGAACCCACCGAACCCTTTCATCCCACGCCTGGCACAGCCATGCCCCTGGCCACAGGTACTCCTGGGCAGGGGGGCAGCAGGGCTGTGGTGATGCTCCCACTGTCCCCCCATCTCTGCCCCCCACCAGCACCCACCGCACGGACCCAGGAGCTGCCCCAAGACCTGGGCATCACCAGCACCCACAAAATGCCCCTTGTCCACCCCACCCACCGTGGGAGCGGGGTACCCCCACCGCCCACCTTCTCGCCGGCCGAGAACGGAGACACGGGGCTGGTAGGGGTTCCCGGTTCAGAGTCATCTTCATCCTCCAGCACTTTATCCAGGTACCCTATGGCCTCCTCTTCCTCCTCCATGGCTGGCCCAGGCAGCAGGGGGCGGAGGGGACCCCGCAAGGCTCCAGGCGAGGGGCTCACACGGCCAAGCTGGCCCAGCCTGACTCAGCCCTGGACGTCGGCCACCGCCGTGGGATGAAAGGAGCCATTATAGGATTCCCGGTGCTCCCGCCGCCCTGGCGTCCCCGGCCGCAGCGCCGAAGCGCTCCCGATGTTCGGCTCCACAACCTCTTCCGAAGCGGCGGTGACGGGAGGCAACTCCCAAGGCCACCAGCGTTGGGACAAGAGGGACGGCCTGGCTCTCCCCAGGCCTCGGCTCAGCCCCCGGGAGGGGGGCCGCCGGCGGTGGAGGGCCGCTGCCCGCCGCCCTGCGCCCCAGCCAGCCCTGCCGCTCCGCCCTGCACGCTCGCTACAGGAAATGCATCTCTTGGCGCTGGAGGTGGGGCTGCTCCACCGCCGGAGTGTGGTCAAGGCTGGGGAACGCAGCAGCAACAGCCGCCACCTTCCCCGAGCCCGGCTCTCCCAACGTCGCCCAGAGCTCGGTGGCCCCTCTCTGCTGGGCTCCCCTCAGACCTTCCCCCAGCACAGCAAAGGGAGAGCCCCCGTCCCGCCTGCTGTGGTGGCCCCCTTGCCCACCCCCCCATGTCCCGCAGGCCGGGGGGAGAGCAGGACCATGGGGACTGCCACCAGAGCAAGCGACCTCGGAGGGCAGCAGCAGGATCAGGTCCTGTAAAAGGACCTTGCTCTGCGCCCCCAGAAGGGTCCTGGAGCCCTCCCCGCCCCAGAGGGGACCCAGCAATTTCGTGGGGCAACACAACTGAGACACAGAATCATCTAGGCTGGAAGAGACCCTCAAGATCATCAAGTCCAACCATCTACCCTACTCCAAAGTTCTCCCCTACACCATATCCCCCAACACAGCCAGGGATGGTGACTCAACCACCTCCCTGGGCAGCCTATTCCAATGCCCGACACACACCTTCCCAAACCATCTGCCCCACATCCTATGGGGAATTGCCCTGGCACCTCACCCCTGCCCCAGGAATGACCATAACCCCGGGGCAGCCGGGGAGTGGGGACGTGAGAAGTGGTGTGACGCCTGCGAGGGACATCGAGGGCCCTGCTGAATGGAGCAAGAAGGGGCTGGAGGAGGGGACACTAACGCAAGAGCTGTTTCAGCAGTTTCCCCCCTCTCCTTGGCAGCAAAAGGGGAAGCAGTGGCCACGTGTGCTCTGCCCGCAGGAGCCGGCTCTTCTCTCCCCCCCTGCCCAAGCCTGGAACAAAATCCAGCTCCGAGAAGTGGGCAGGGACATAGACATGGGGGCTTTCCAGAGCCTGTGCCCAGTCCTGTGTCCATGCCACAGCTCAGGCTTTGCCCAGCCTTTGCTAAGGGGGTTCTGTGCCCGGGCATGGGGACCCTGCACGCCACAACCAGGTCCCCAGAGCGGGGGATGCTCTGGGCCCAGGTGAAAGCCACCCGCCGTGCCAAAGCCAGCAGCACCTGAGCAGGGGCTGGGCCACCACCTCACACTGTGATCATGGTGTTTGCATTTCCCAGGCGGGAGAGGGAGTCATAGGCTGTGTCTGCACCCAACAGCTATACCCTAGATGAGGTCACAGCTGCCCCAGGAACTTCGAGATGCCCCACCAGAGATGCCCCACCAGAATCCTCTTCTAGACAGCAACACCAGTCCCCCCTCAGCAGAGAGGAGCAATGGGGTGAGACTGGTACCCCATGCCACCAGCCACAGCAGGACCCACACACAAGCCTGTGCCCATCGCAGGGCTGGATTAAAAGTGCCAGGATTAAGACAATACCCCACTAAGCCCTGTCACAAGCAGCTCTAGATAAAGAGATGGAGGCAGAGACGGCGCTGAGCTCCAACACTTCCCAATCCTGTTAGTGCCAACCAAGGCTTCACTGCCCGCATCCAGCCCCAGCACGCTCCCCCAGCCCCCAAGGCCACCGCTTTGCCAGCGTCCCCAGGGGTGTCCCCCAAAGCTGCTTCCCCAGGGCCACCCTCTACGGAGCCCATCGCCAGGGTGTCAGGGCTGGGGCTCAGAAGGTGGTGCGGGACCACCCTGAGCCCGGGTGGCTTGTACCCTGCCCCGGGACGGGGTCCATGGCGCAGCAGGGTGGCAGAGGGCGGGCGGCCCCCCCCTTCCATCCCCAGGGACCGCACTGGGGTGCCCGGAGGAGGAGGATGCTGCGCAGCAGCGGGCCCTGGGGAGGAAGCCACACCTCTCGCCTCCTCTGCCTCAGCATCCGGGTTAAGGGCTTAACTCTTTCCATGACCAAAAAAAAAACCAACACAAAACCAAGAACTTCACGTTTCCCAGCCGCGTCTCTTGCCGTGACCCAAGCCCCGGCCGGCAGCGGGACCCCGGCAGCTCCCCCAGCCCGGGCAGCGCTGGGTGCCAGGGGGGGCTCCCCCAGCCCCGGGCCAGCCCAGCGCTCCCCGCACCAGCCCCCAGCCCTGTGCCCAGGGGCCGGGGGGGGGCCGGCGCCCTGCCAAGAGCCCCCTGGGCCAGGGTACACACCGGGGATGGCAGCCCTGATGTCCCCGGGAACCATCCCCCTCCTCCACCCCCGCCCCCGGGCTTTCCGGAAACTTTTATTCTGGAAAAAAACCCAATCTTTTTGCCCTTTGGTTTCCCGCCGCGCAGGTCTCCGAGCATCCCTCCTGGGAACCATCCCGGACAGACCCCAGGGGCTTCCCGGGGATGGTCTTGGAAGAGCAGGGGGAGAGGAAGGGTAAAAATCTACGTTCCCCAGAAGAGGAGGGGGGGACACACTCTCGGTGTCCCTCCCCCGCTGGCGGCTTGTCCCCAAGTGCCGCTAGATGGAGCCGGCAGCCCGGCGGAGGCTGCGCCATGGCCCCAAGGGCTCCCCGCAGCAGGGGACCCCGGGAACCCCACTCTTGCCAGCCAAACCCTGCCGGGATCCAGCCCCCGCACCCCGCTCTCCGACCAGCCCGTGCCCTCCTGGCTCTGCCACTGGCACGGCACGACGGGACACGGCACGACATGGGGGGGGACATGCCATGGACATGGCACCCCCACCACCAGCAGCAGAACAGGGTGCTGCTCCCCAGAGGACCACAGCCAGTCGGGTTTGGGATGCCAGAGGACAGTCCCCCAGGTCACAGAGCACCACCGACACCGCTGACACATCCGAGCCAGGCACCCGCATCCCCCAATTCAACCGGACCCACGGCAGAGCTTCGCGTCCCGAGCACCTACCCCTGTGCCAAGGCCATCAGTGGGTGTTGGGGACACACCGTCCCCGCTCTCCTGGCCGCGGGCGCTGAGCTGGGGGGACATGGTGGGTGACTCGTCGATGTAGGGCATGGTTTCCGAGCCCTCCGGCAGCGCCTTGGGCTCCTCGTTGCCCTCGGCGTCGTACTCGTCCGCACCATAGTTGAAGTCTGCCAGGGGAAGAGAGGGTGGTGGTGAGCATCCAGGCAGCGGGCACAGCTGAGGGTCACCCCACAGCACACCACAACCACCCCAGCCTGTGGCTACCTGCGGGCAACTGACCCCCTGTCCGATACCCACCGGACACGGGTGCCCACATCCACAGCCCACCCCAGCCCCGCTGCCCTTGGCTACCTGCTTTCTGCCTGCCCGAGCGAGTAGTGCATGACACACAGCATCCTCAGGGGCTGAGCGTGTCCGCTCGACACACTTCCCTATATTTGCATAATTAACGGCACCGAGAGGCCACCGCAGGCCTCCTCTGCGCAGGGACAGCTGCTCTGCCAGACGCCCCAGCCCCAGGCGAGCGGCTCTGCCCTGCTGCCATCCCCGTGCCATCCCCGGGGAGAGATGGAGCTGGGCTGGCATCCATGGACACCCTCCTCCCCGCTCCCCCACACCCGTCCTCCTCGGAGTGTGGGAGTGGGTGCCAAGACGCCCGGGTCCGCAGCACGGAGGACAGTGCCACCCCCTCCCGAAGAAGGGGGATGGTGGTGGGTGGGCAGCTCGGTGGTGGGTGGGCAGTTCGGACCACTCTGTGGGGGCAGAAGGGGTCTGCTTTCCCCAGAGCAGGATGAGGCTACGCCAGGCCAGCACTCATTTTTGGACGCCCCGCAACCCCCCCCCACCTCATCCATCACCCATGGCCCAAGGGAAGCCGTTTTGGGGAGCCGGAGCCCCAGGTGAGAGCAGGGGGGCTCCAGGGTCTGCGACGGTCCCCGGGGCGCAGCGGGGGACCGGGGTACATCCTAACCTGTTACCATGGAAACGGCAGCGGCTCGGTGGCGGCGGGAAGAGGCGGCTGCAGCAGCCCCGAGATGCTGACAAAGGGGAGGGGGAAGGGAGCCCGGCTGCGGCAGGGGCAGCCGCGGGGTGCAGACAGCCCCCCAAGCTGGGGCCTGCGGCCAGGAACCCCCCCGGCAGCTCCCCAAAAAGGTGGTGGACAAGGCTTGCCCAACCCCACCCCACGCCAGCCCCTCGCTGCCCTCCCCACCCGGCAGCCCCACGGCTGTCCCCATAGGGCACTGACAGTGGGGACAGCCCAGCCAAGACCCTGGCCAATTCTCTGGGCAAAATGCGGTGCGTGGGGGCTGGAGCAGCCATCCCAGA